CTATGGGCCTATAACTTTGTGCAGATGATTTTCAGCGGGGCTTCTGCACTTGTAAGAAGGAGACACTCGTGGGGAGAGGATTTGCCGAATTTGCTGCATCAATGAGCTCAGGCGCCCGGAGACCCAAACTTCTCCCCATCCCAGAACCCAGGAGCAATGAGTTCGGACTTCAGTTCGCATAAATTCTGTAACCCCCTCCCTTCTTGATTTGAAGCTTTCGTGACTGCAGGGATTCATACTCTTTGGTTATTTCGGTAAAGTCACGTAGGTAGGAAAATAAATAATGGATCACGACGTTTCGATCGCAGCAACAAGCAATCGTCTTCAGGTGAGAGAGAGAAGCATGCCGTTGTTCCATTCCATTCATCACCCATAGTCAGTGAAAACGTGTAACCTCTTGTGACAGCATTCGCATAAATTGCTCTTGCGACCCTTGTTAGGGTTCGTGCCTTTTACTGGACTCTTGTCAACAACAAAAAAAATACAAAGAAACAATACAAAATAAGTAATATTTAAAAAAAAAATTAACACGCTTTAATGAGTACGGTAATGGCAGAACTCCACGACTCCAGGATGGCCCCGAAGCTTGCCACAACGTAAGGGGCCGTGGGCAATTACAGCCAACGTGAGTTGAGCGTGGACAATTAAACCAAAGCCGAAACATAACATATAAAAAAGACTGCTTAAAAATATATATTTTTCTTTTTAATGATAGAATTGTCATCAGTATGACATACGTGTACCAAGTTAGCAGTCGATACGACATTGGGAAGTGGGTTAAAATTGAGTTACCAGATTTGAGGATACAACAGACAGAGTGCGTTAAATAAAAGCGTGTAATAATAATAAAAAAACACACAATGAGCTCAGGCTATCATCGTCCGCTGGGTACTGTCGCCGCTGTCCTGGTTTCACACAACGCATGCTCCCGGCGTGCTGTGGATCGCCACGTTCAGCACGCCCCGCATGCTCAACCATCACCAAAATGCAATATGCAGCTGCGCTCTTCCGTTGGGAGACGAGAAAAGCCACGGCGCTGGAATGCGACACCCAAGACGGCTGGAACTCTGGGGCGCCGCAAGGCCGATAGCCGCGCCGCATATCACAGCGAACTGCCGCAAGGCCTTAATTATAATATATTGGGGGGGACACAATATGCTCAAAATGTCCCCCCCCCAATATATTGCCATAAAAAATAATTGCTATGCTATGTAAACAAAAACAACAATTTGCTAAACCTTGGCCACATATCTGGACTTGTCTTCATAACAGGTCCCTGCAGGGTGGGCTGGTAGGAACATTGGAATTTTTTTTACACCCAACAGCACGAGATTTCACTTCGTTAAAGTATTGAAAGGGGACGGACGGACACATTAATCTATTGCAGGCTGGTACACTCAGTTTACAACTTCGTTCCTACCAGTATAAATCAATGCATAGATTTCTGTTTATATGATTGTGGTTATGGTTTTACTTTATTAATCCCTAATCTCTGCCATTACATACAATGAAACAAGAAATGGTAAAAAAGTCAAAACAGAGCAATGTAATACAATACACAATTAGACATTGTAAAAAATAAATAAAAAGTCCATCCCATGTGTTAGTGAATGTTTTTTATATTTTAGGCAGGAAATTAATCTTCAAATTTTGATTTTTTTTTCTTCTGGGGGGGGGGGGACCTCCAGACCCCCTGGAAGATTTGGTCCCCCCCAATTTTGACTCCATGGCTATGGTCTTGTACTGCCGTATCGCGCGTAACAAAATCACGTCCGCGCGGTGTCTGTATATACGATCGCGCGTAGCTATGGTACAGCACAATCAATTCGGCGTCCTTTACGTAACCAAGGTGAGGGCCCGCTGAGATTGGGAGGGCTCTCTTTGGGGACTTGGCGATGACGCTCTTGCTTATTCGAATGAAGTCGTTTTGAGTCGTTATTTTGGCAAATTTTGCGAATTCGGACCTTGATAACGGCAAGCGTGGCCTACTCGATTTCCAACGACGTCAAAGGATGTCAAGGGGTCCCCTCGGCGAAAAAAACTGCAATTTGAGATGTTTCGTTACGCTATGGGTGCAGCATAAATGAAAACGCTATTTATTATATTATTATAAAACGAATGGCTACAGCAGAAGCTGGATATATCAGAAGTTTCCCGTTCCATCCCCCCCCTTCCCCCAATGAGCAAAATAAAAGTTGTGCTCATATAAAAAAATCAACACATTCGTCAATAACACTGTGACCTTAAAAAGAAAAATAATATAATCGGTCACGTTTCGAGCAAATGGCCCTTCTTCACAGCACAGACAGGCAAAGTGACGAGTGTGTTGAATTTGTTGTTATTTGTGCTTGTGATTCACTACCAACGCAGTACGTGTATCACCAAATAATGTTTGTTTATATAAGGTATGCTTATATCGAACTTAAACTGTATTCACTTGCAGTATATTCATGGGAAATTCAAGAGCTTTTATATGTTTTTCAAATTGAGATAGGATGTGCTTGTATTACAATATTCGTGGTGGAGCAATGGTGGAAGTGGTTCGCGCATTGCACTATGAACCTGACCACCGAATTTCGATTCCGGGCCATGGCTAACATGGCCCGGAATCGAACCGGTCCTGACTCCCCCCCCTCTTCACCAACCCACACTGATCAGTGTGCTGAAGTATGATCGATCTACAACCACAATGATGAAAAAAATAATAAAAATACAGGCAAAAAGGTCCCATAGATACAACACCCCCGCAAGTGACATGGCACAAAGAGGCCTTCATCCAGCAGTAGATTGACCAAAGGGTGTAAATCACTATTATTACACTCGTTATGTTAACGTTTATCCCTGCTCAAATGAGGCACTCATCTCCTCTGTTGGCCCTGTGCCAGTGGTGGAAATTTCACATTACAATGACATGGTCGGTCTATCCAGAGGAGGACCACTGTGACATTTCATACAAAGTGGCACTCATCTCATCGACTCTGGAAATAATGAACCCTAACTGGGGATTGAACTTGCAATCTTCTGCTTTTCGAGTCAATCACTCTTGAGCCGAGCACCACTCAGCTGGATGTCACAATAGGGTGTGGACTTTATCATCAGGAAACAGACTATCTGCCTCAGCAGCAGACCATGCTTTCCCACCTGATGACGGACGCTTGTGTTGTGCCCGAAACGTTGTGATTTTTAAAAAAATATATTTTATACCTACGTGACTTTACCGAAAGAACCAAAGAGTATGGATTCCTGCAGTCACGAAAGCTTCAAATCAGGATATATACCTACAACCAAATCACCACAATTTTCCTGATCCTGATAGAATTAGGAAGTGAAGCAGGTTTAGGCCTGGATAGTGCTTAAATGGGTGACCACCATGCCCAAACAGGAAGTCGTAGTGCTGCGGGGACATGTGGTGGGCAGCAGAGGACAGTGTAGAAATACACATTGTTGAACTGTACTTCTGTGCTCCCATCCATCAACAACACGTGTGTGTAAATGCCAACATTTCAGGCAGTGGCCCTTCTTCATAGTACATAGAGGAATTTTCAGAAATGTCGCCTATTATATATATTTTTTCCTTTTAAGGCAGTATTACTGACAAATGTGTTGATTTTTTGTGTTATTAATGCTTGTGCACCACTGCCAACAGCAGCAGCAGCATCACCAAATAATTAGTTTAACTTGTAAATTTAGACGTGCCTCTGGCCAAAGCTCCCTGAACCAGTGGTGGAATTTCCACATTGGCATGGCAGGGCCAGCCTTGCCACAGTTCGACTGCTGTTGTCTTGCTACAGCTGAACATTATAATTTAAACAGTTTTTCTGTACAAATTACAGAGGAAGGACATCATGGGTCATCTGGCAGCACGCTGCACCTGACACCCACACGATTCCATAGATCTCAGCACATTGCATTGTTATAATCAGGATCTCATTTCAACCGGGTCTGTCCGGATTGGCCACCTGGAAAATATGTTACCCACCCGGCACATCGCATCCAGTGTATCACTCACTGTGGACAATGGCAACTCGTCACGCGTGTACTCAGTCTCCAAGCAACCCCAAAAATATACGGTGGGATGTTAATCCCTGGTTACGGTAAAACATAGAGGATGTATCAATGCGCTAACCACTCACACCATCTAACAAAACGCAATGACAAATGGGCTGCATAGTCAATATTGTCGATTTTACTTCAGGCACCGCATCTGAGAACCACACGCAGCACGCGCATCATCCTACACAACACAATGCAGACGCACCAACTCTTCAATACGTGGTGTAAAACCAACAAGGTCAAGCGGTCAAGAGGTCATTACGGCCAATGCTCTGAGATGCCGTCACATCCTGCCATCACTTCCTTTCTTCTACAAGACTCCGCAGTAGTTGCACAGTTAACATCTGATCTCCCCAGATCTGCTGTTACAGTCTCATAACGATTGGTCGCTGACATGCAAGTGCCACTGTTTCGGTCACCTATCCCCCATCCTGCACACATGTCCCACCAGTTACACTTGCAACACTTTCTGGCAAGGTCTATTCCAAACTTCCAAATTGCTTACCCTCTCCTTGCATTTGCATGCACCTACATTCAAAAGCCATGTTTATTTTTCAGTTGCTTTGTAATAGTTCAGCTCTCTGAGTCATGGTGTAACAAGACAAAGATCCCCTGTATAGTCTTAACATGCTTTTGGAGCAAGTGCTGCTAGCGAGCACCAATGAAGTCCGGGATGGACCATGTGGGGTCGTGTAGCTATAACCTCGCCCGGTTGCTCTTGTCTCCCAAGTGCTGATGTTTACACACCGCACCAGGTACTAATTTATGTCTATTTTTGGCAGACCCAGAACCGTCACTGGTGTTGGCCGTGAGCGAGAATCACACCTGGGTCACCGGGTTTATAGCGTAGCGCGCTAACTGCTAGGCCACCGCTCCCCACATCACACACACTCTACTCCCACCTTAAACACTACGAGGATAGCCAAGGAGAGAAAGACAGCACTTACTCGCTTGCTTCGCCCGCTCTCTGTACGTCGTGGCGAGTCCTTCCGATGCACAGTCCTCCACAGGCTCCAACATAGGCACGGCACCACAATATAGGGAGAGACCCTGCATCCTGTCGGTCGCACCCCCTTTCTCCTCCTCCACTTGCACTGCCACCGGCACCGCCACCTCCACCTGCTCCTCCTCCTTTCGCTCAGCGACCACGTCATTCGATGCAACCCATGCGGGCGCGTTGTCCCAACACCGTGCGTCACGTGAGTCCTCCTCGTTAACCTCCCCCGGCTGATCCAGCTGTGAGGCCGCCGCTGCCACCGCCGCCGACACCACCGCCGTTGTCGTTATCGCCGCCGATTCCGCCGGCCCCACCTCTTCCTCGCACAGCTCTTCGCAAGTGAGCGACATCGCGATCAGGTTGATGTCGGCGGCCGAGGTCAACACCACGGGGACGTCGCCACCTCCAACTCCATTGCTGCCGACACCGCCACCATTACCACCACTGCCAGTGCCACCACCATTACCACCACCGCCGGTACCACCACCGCCGCTGTAACCTCCTACGGTCTCTCCATTTCCATCTCCTCCAGCCCATTGGTCTGTGGAGGCATCCTTCACAAACGCTCCATCTGGCCACTCGCCGGCGTGAGCAGAGTACAGGCGGCTGCTCTGCGTCGCTTTACGGACGGTCCTTTCCCTGCGGACCTCCGTCGGAGGCAGCGATATGGAGAGCGGGGGCGCTGCCGCGATGGTGCTGGCAGCGGCGCTGGCGGAGGCGCGCACCGTCTCGCCCGGTTCGCCGCTCCCCTCCGCCGGCGCTGGCGGGACAGGCAAAGCGCTCGCCAGGGCGCACGCTCCCACGATCCCCTCCGGCGGTCCTAGGCTGCACACGATGCCCTTCTGTACATAGCTGGCATTGCAACGTGCGACGCGCGCAGGGTCGGAATCGGTGATGGCGCGAGCTTTGCGCTCACGTACGCGGCCCAGGTCCGTCACCTCGTTGCAGGGCGACACGTACACGCGGGTCACGGGGGGCGGGACGGCCGCCTGTGCCAGTGGTTCGGGGTCGCCGTGCCTGGCCGTGGAGTCCACCGCTGCTGACGCCGGTCGCTCGGTGTCACCGTGCCGTGCCGTGGCGTGCCCTCTCCGCTCGAGGTCGCCGTGCCACATTGTGGCGAGCCCTGCTATTGACACCGGTCGCTTGGGGTCACCGTGCCGCGCCCCGGTGTTTCCTGCCGGCTCCGGGTCGCCGTGACGTGCCGTGGCGGGCCCTTTCCGCCCGAGGTCGCCGTGCCACATTGTGGCGAGCCCTGCTGCTGACACCGGTCGCTTGGAGTCATTGTGCCGCGCCCTGGCATGCCCTGCTGCCTCAGTATCGCTGTGCCACGCCGTGGCGTACCGTGTCGGCTCAGGGATGCTGTGCCACACTGTGGTCGAACCTGCTGGCTCGGGGTTGCTGTGCCGTGCCGTCGCCGGCCCTGCCGTCTCGGGGTCGCTGTACCACGCCATATCTGGACCTGCCGGTGCCAGTCGCTTGGGGTTGCCGTGCCGTGCCGTGGCATGCCCTGCTGGTTCGAGGTCGCTGTGCCACGCCGTGGCCGGCCCTGCTGTCTTGGGGTCGCTGTGCCACGCCGTGGCGTGCACTGCCGGCTCATGCTGAGGAGGCGTCGGGTTCTCGCGAGCGCCGTCGATGCCACGGCTCAGGGTGCCGTCGCGTGGGAAGATTTTCCTGTGCGCATCAAAGGCAAAGGTGACAAGAATTAAATCGCGAGCTTAAAGGACTCCTCCTGTCCCCACACTCATAACGTACACATACAAGGCGGTCATCGCATCGCGCTGTGCTTTCAGATGCGCTTCTGTGGCCGTCTGGAACGCTCTTCCTTTCGATATTAGGAAGCCACTGGAACTATGCACTTTTAAATAGATTGAAAACTGATTTCTTTAGAACTGCTTTTTGAGTTTCGTTTGTTATCCTTCCCCTGCACCTCCAATTAGCATGGTTGGCTACGTACAATGCGAAATAAGTTGAACATACATACATACTTAAGTATAGCTACAACTACGGTAATAACGTTAATGTGGAAAGAACTAAACATGCAACCGCCTATCACCAAATCACCCTGAACATACGCAATCTTGTCATATGTGCAGAATCTAAGCAAACTTGATCCTGGATAGTACTTGGATGGATGACCCCCGTGCCGTTTTCAGCCAGTATTTACTGTTTATAAACAGACCTACAATGACAACAACAGCCACTGTTCCCTACTTAGATGGCGAAATCAGCAATCTGCTTGTGCAGAGCTAGCTGTGTACTTTCATACAACGTGTAGTGACAAAGTGTCTGGCAGGAAGTCATGAATAATGAGATCCAGAGATCCAGGTGTCCAAATGGGATCCTTTTGCCCCCTGTTCCGGATCGCCACAGCCACTTGTACATGTGAATCATTTGGCGGGACCCTGGGGTCCCGCAAAAATCAGGTCAATTATTATTATTATTCAATCCGCCCACTCGTGATCCCGACAGCAATGCGCCGCCCGCCCAGACTCGCGCCAACAAGCGCCAGCAGGCGGCGATCGACACGATGGGCACCACCCCACCGGCCAAACGCAAGCCCCGGGGGGCGCGTCCACAACGCCCTCCGGTCAGCCGTCGATCCTCAGCTTCTTTGCCAAGGCGAGCCCGCCCCCCCCCCCCCCAGGCAGTGAATTTAACGTGTTTATGTAATTTTACAACTTTTTACGAAACTTATTGCCCCGAGTAGCTCTCGACGAGGCCAATCGATTGACCACTAGTTTTGTTGTCGGTAAGGCAAGACTCGTGTCGCTACGCGGTTTTTCCCACCCCGGGGCAGTGATGGGACCCCGGGGTCCCGCCAATTACTTCATGTGTTGAACTCCTTGCGCACCATACGTAGTCAACGGTGCTAATCGCAGGTGCGGGGAAGGCCAAACTGAAGACAAAAATAAATTAGTTTTCAATGTAGATTTAAAAGTGCACATGAGGCCTGCCACTTCGAAGCAACCCACACCAGCAGAAGCATCTTAATCTATTCGATTCGTGCGCATGATGGCAAACACCAATTTGGTTCAGGAGCTAGTTGTCAATGGCGAGGTCCGCTACCCACGACGACATGGCTTCAGGAGAGTGTAGATCTGTGACTCCTCCGTTGGGCACCAGCGGGGAATGTTAGCATAAACGCGTTGGTGAGCGGAAAGCAGCCGCAGGCATCGCATTGACGCGGCAAAGGGGAGCCCTGATTACTTCGGATTATTATTGGATAACGCTTATGCGTGTGTAAACGTGCGGCCATGCCAAAGGCATGCGCGCCACGGTGGTAAGATGTTAACTTCCTCGCCTGCTATACAGGAGGTCGTGAGTTCAATCCTGACCCCGACGCCTGTATGCAGTATATGGAGTTTGCAGTAAGGGACAGGTTTCACATCCCTGATCTAGACACTGTATAGATACAATATCTATTGACAGGTGAGGCCACGGCAGATATAAAACTGCACACAACAAGTGAACAGGTAAACAGAGCTAGAGTCTGGGAATTCGGTATATATTTTTTTTCCTCTCTTCCCTGCATAGATCACCGGAATTGAAAACATCCCTTGGTTTGCACAGTAGTCATCCTATGGACAAACTGGCCCTGCCATAGGAATGTGGAATGCCCACCTTTGACTCAGGTCCACCACAGCTTGTTCGAATAGGGAGACACTCTTAATAGGCTTTGACGTCAACTGATTCAAGACGAACGCGGATGGAAAACGTGCATAGGAACAGAAACGACCAGAGCGTTTAGCATCCATAAACATTAGTTGTTCTGACAAATAATAGTCGCATCAAATATCTTCATGCTTAAGACCAGATTGGAAAAGGGATTCCCAGCCACGTAGTACTGTACTGTGTTTAGAGTGTTCATCTCACAATAAGAAAAAGTATATTAACATCCTGATCAACACGGGGTCAACTCAGCGCATCATCACTCCAGAGTCAATGAATGAATACCACTTAGTAGTGAGAAGCTTGCTCTGTAGGGTTCGGGTTAGGGCCGGAACCAAAGATGAGTTGCCGTCACTTTGCTCGCTGGAGAATGCCGCCACTTATAACTGTTGACCGCAGTTCGGTGAAACCCGGTGGAAATCACCGCCTCGAGGCAGAACCACAGGTCGGAGACACGCAGAGCTCTCCAATACCGCACAGAGCACGACTGATAAACCGTTTACAAGACGCTGCAATCTGCTTTTGATCAACGTAACTGAGCAAGAGCCCCAAGCGTAACCCGACAGCTCACAGGGCTGAGCCGTTGCGCATTGAGCATACATGCCCACTCGCCCACTCACGATACTTACAGCACGGAAACTTTGGACATGGCCCTTACGGAGTCTGCGACAAATAAGAGACGGCGATCACCCTTTTCCGAGAGACGGAGGTTCGATTTCTCGCTCGCGCTCGGCTGTCAGTCCGCCGTCGTGTGTGTCGAGGCGTCTCTCTCTCTCTGCCCCTCTCTCTCTCTCTCCCTCCCGTGGGCCACCCAGACCCCGAAGCCAGCACTCCCTAGCAGCTTCTATTAATAACCTTGACGGAATTACGGGCGTCTGCCGCCACTTTCTCAATCTCTCTCCGCAGGCTGCACTAGCATGTGTGCGCGCACGTGTGAAGATGTGGCCGTTCCTATAAATACTTGCAAAGCCGGCGATTTCTCGAAGCAACTGCCCTGCGCACACGCTCAGGAATGCTTCACGTTAATGTACGGTGAAGAAGAGGAACAACAACAATATATGTATTTTAAAATGCAGGTGGACAGTCGAAGGGTATTTAACGATGATCGCCCACTCGCGCTGTAGTGGTCGAGTGTCCGTGTGCTGGTGATAACAACGCCTATGACCCGATCGCCCAGACTGCGCCCACCCTCGTCAGATCCTCGGAAGTTTTGCAGGGTTGAACGCCAGGCACACACAGGTTGTCATACGGCCTGCAGGCCACACAATAGAGGGCCATGCAGGAAAGTCCATTGCTGTATGGTACTTTGATGCTCCAACGTCTATACAGTGAGGGAAAAAAAGTATTTGATCCCCTGCTGATTTTGTACGTTTGCCCACTGACAAAGAAATGATCAGTCTATAATTGTATTGGTTGGTTTATTTGAACTGTGAGAGACAGAATAACAACAAAATAATGCAGAAAAACGCATGTCAAAAATGTTATAAATTGATTTGCATTTTAATGAGGGAAATAAGTATTTGACCCCCTCTCAATCAAAAAGATTTCTGGCTCCCAGGTGTCTTTTATACAGGTAACGAGCTGAGATTAGGAGCACACTCTTAAAGGGAGTGCTCCTAATCTCAGCTTGTTACCTGTATAAAAGACACCTGTCCACAGAAGCAATCAATCAATCAGATTCCAAACTCTCCACCATGGCCAAGACCAAAGAGCTCTCCAAGGATGTCAGGGACAAGATTGTAGACCTACACAAGGCTGGAATGGGCTACAAGACCATTGCCAAGCAGCTTGGTGAGAAGGTGATAACAGTTGGTGCGATTATTCGCAAATGGAAGAAACACAAAAGAACTGGCAATCTCCCTCAGCCTGAGGCTCTATGCAAGATCTCACCTCGTGGAGTTGCAATGATCATGAGAACGGTGCGGAATCAGCCCAGAACTACACGGGAGGATCTTGTCAATGATCTCAAGGCAGCTGGGGCCATAGTCACCAAGAAAACAATTGGTAACACACTACGCCGTGAAGGACTGAAATCCTGCAGCACCTGCAAGGTCCCCCTGCTCAAGAAAGCACATATACATGCCCGTCTGAAGTTTGCCAATGAACATCTGAATGATTCCGAGGACAACTGGGTGAAAGTGTTGTGGTCAGGTGAGACCAAAATGGAGCTCTTTGGCATCAACTCAACTCGCCGTGTTTGGAGGAGGAGGAATGCTGCCTATGACCCCAAAAACACCATCCCCACCGTCAAACATAGAGGTGGAAACATTATGCTTTGGGGGTGTTTTTCTGGGTGAGAACCTCCTTCTCTCTGCCAGGGCATTGAAAATGGGTCGTGGATGGGTATTCCAGCATGACAATGACCCAAAACACACGGCCAAGGAAACAAGGGAGTGGCTCAAGAAGAAGCACATTAAGGTCCTGGAGTGGCCTAGCCAGTCTCCAGACCTTAATCCCATAGAAAATCTGTGGAGGGGGCTGAAGGTTCGAGTTGCCATACGTCAGCCTCGAAACCTTAATGACTTGGAGAAGATCTGCAAAGAGGAGTGGGACAAAATCCCTCCTGAGATGTGTTCAAACCTGGTGGCCAACTACAAGAAACGTCTGACCTCTGTGATTGCCAACAAGGGTTTTGCCACCAAGTACTAAGACATGTTTTGCAGAGGGGTCAAATACTTATTTCCCTCATTAAAATGCAAATCAATTTATAACATTTTTGACATGCGTTTTTCTGGATTTTGTTGTTGTTATTCTGTCGCTCGCTGTTCAAATAAACCTACCATTAAAATTATAGACTGATCATTTCTTTGTCAGTGGGCAAACGTACAAAGCAGGGGATCAAATACGTGTTTCCCTCACTGTAAGCTCTCTCCCCCTTCACCAATTGACAGAGGCAAATACGTTAAAATTTTCAATTTAATTTTTTATTACTTATTTTTCTTGTGCATCTTGTGCTCTGTGTGAAAGCCACGTGTGTAATCATTTGCTGAACAAACAAAAAAAACCTTTACCAACCTGCGGTGAGCAGTGTGGTGAATTAGGGTCAAATAATTGTGATGACTCGCTCAAAAGTGGCGAGGCCCTCATCCAGCAGTGGAATGAGTAAAGCCCTTTAAGTATCCAGGAAAGCCTTGCCAAGTCTCAAGGGTTCTCCATGTTCGCATGTTGAACTTCTTTCGCACCGTATGTAGCCAACCATGCTCATCAGAGGTGCGGGGGAAGGACAACAAACTAAACTCTAAAAGCAATTTTAGAGAAATTAGTTTTCAATCTATATTTAAGAGTGCACAGCTCCAGTGGTTTCCTAATAACTTAAGGAAGGGCGTTCAAGACAGAAAGTGGGCGCGATGCAGTGCATGAGAATGTTTGGCCAATTTCATAAACGACTAATTGGCATATCAGAGGAAACTGGAGTGGTCAGAAAAAACCCACCACACTTATTGAGGAATAACAAAACGTCCCGTCAACAGAGTTTAATAACTGAAGGTTTATTTAAAGGCGGCATATAAAGGTAAAGAAGAGACTGCGAGAGTCGAATGTGTGTGGAGCGGTTTTGTGTGCGTTTGGTAACCCACGTGAAACATGAACATACCCCATGTAACGATGCACAGATCCATCAAGATACATCCATCGAATTCCGTGCATTAGAAGCGATGTTTTATAGTGAATCGACAGTATTTGCACATGTTATGCTACGCTACATTTACGCTGTTGATTGAAAAAAAAGAAAATGTTTAAATGAGATGGTGAAAATAAGAGAGGAAAAATGTATTGTGGAATCAAATCGTGACCCCCAAATAGTGATCATTAATGAAATCGGCGAGTAGGAGGGACGGTGTAAGACTGCGTGCCTACCTACAAGGACACAACTAATTTCTTTAGAATAGATTTTTGTGTTTACTGTAGTTTGTTGTCTTTTCCCCGCACCTCAGATTAGCACGGTTGGCTACGTACGGTGCGAAAGAAGTTAAATATACATATGTAGCTGCGCTATGAACCCGGTGACCTGCTTTCGATATCCGTTCATGAATACCTGAACCGGTCGTCGGTCTCCCCTAGGTCAACCCAAACTTAATCGAGCACCTGGTGCAGTGTGTAAACATGAACCTTAAGGCGGTACCCCGGCTCTCGCATAATGTCCGTGACGCAGTCATCTTTAATCTGTTGATGGTCGGCGATGCGGCAATCGACTCATCTCGACGAGCTGTACTCACGATGCACCACCACTACGGTGTGTACCGCGAGCGTTCAGGGTTTCGGCGCAATCGTCCTCGCTGTGTTTCGACATCGCGGAGTGTGGCACTGATTTCGGATTGATTGGTACCCCAGTCGCGGAGTGAAGTGAACCCCTGGGAAAAATAGCGTCGCAGAAATAAAGTATTTAATTGTCTCGGCCATTGTGTATTATTTGGTATTCCCCGGGGTACCGCCATAAGGATCATTTGGGAAACAAAGGTGGCTTGATGTGCTGCTGGTCACACCAACGTTTCGTGTGTCGTGCCAGCCCTGATAAGTGCCTGCTAACTGCACTTGTCACAACAGCCTGTGTCAGATATATGGGGGATCTTTATCTTGTGAACATCGGCAAGAGGGAGACAAAAAGTGGCCAAGTGTGGCCCCTGGCCTCATCACTTCCTCGGACTCCACGAAGGTAATAATATCTGCTTGCTAACATGGCTTGCCGCAGCAGTAAGTTAAAAGCATTAGGGGGATCTATGTCTTTGTTTTGTGTGTGCGTGTTTATGTACGTACACAGGCGTGCTTATGCACACACACATACACACATGCGCGTACACACACACACGCATACATACACACACACACGCATGCGTGTGTGTATGTATGTATGTATGCACACACGTGTGCGTTTAGAATGGTTCCATCACCATCATCACCATTATCACAAATTTCCAATTCACTGATTGATGGAGAGGTCCCAATGGTCAAGTCATCGCCACCACTAACTCCGCACAGCTGCAACCCATTCCCAATCGCGACGTGTCTCATTTCACAACTCCGTCTCCGCTTTCACGATCCTCCGGACCCTGCCTCCCTCCCAATGCACATTCAGTCGCCACTTCCAAAACCATCACTAATTTTGCGCATCAACTGTCATCTCTTCCACAAACGAGTCCACACGTCATTGTAATTTGAATGACTGTCAACCGACTGTACGACGCCGACTGTACGTCTTCTTCTGCTTCTGTATATTGAAAACGAATTTCTTCAGAACACCTTTTTGTGTTTAGTTTGTTGTCCTTCCCCCACACCTCTGATTCGCACGGTTGGCTATGTATGGTGCGAAAGAAGTTCAACATACATACATACATAGAACAACAACTGTAATTGTTATTTTAAATATACTGCTCCTGATTGTTACCCCTACCGCAGTAAAGGCAGCGAGCCCAGATGCCCTGGGTCGGTCCCTAATTTTGAGGGTGTATCGCTCTTTGAAATGTCATTTGTACTCTGGGTTCTTGAATAACAATAAAACAAACGCAACTTTTATTTCATATGTCGGCTTTCACTCAAGATCTGAGCTCCTGTCAACAACTGGACGGTGCCGGATGTCACCTCCAGCGAAACGTCCGTAGCCATTTCGATGTTGTGAGATTCCTTTCCAATGACAACACTGACACCACCGGTGGTGGTGCTGCTGCTGAAGAAGAATTTAAATTTGTCACGTTTGATTCAGGTGACACTCATTCATTGCCTGCGCGGGGTGGAGGAGGGTTTACTACACACATTTTGACACGTCCTAACCCAATAGAAACAAAGTATGCGACTGTCATTTTACATTGTGGTGGTTGAGCCCGATAATTGCGTCAGTAGCAGCGGAGTACGTCGCTGTGATTATTCCTCCTTTGTGTTTGTGAATCGAGCATCGAGTCGCAAGATGTTCCACGACCTGTTGTGGGTCACCACAGTCACACATCGGAGAGTTCCCCCCCCCCCCCCCCCCCATCAAGTCATGTATCTGCATCTGCCACGATTTGTGCGGCTGAAGTGTAGGCTTTCCCGTAAGCCTCGCGGAAAATCAAAGCCAGTTAGTTGTCACAAGTAAATATCCACGGTACAAATGTGCAGTCACACTGAAGGAGACCCTATAGATATGAAGACAAAGATGCCCCCTTTAGCCTAAACAGAATGTTAGGGAAAGTGTTGTTAGCGAGCACCTATGGAGGCAAACACCACGCCCGGCCGCCTTTGTCTCCCCAGTGGCGATATTTACACACCGCAGTGGGCACTCATTTGAGACTGAGTCGACCTAGGGGAGACCCAGGACTGGTTCAAATAATCGTCATTGATGTTGGTGGCCATGAGCGGGATTTGAACTCGGGTCACTGGGTTCATAACGCAGCACGCTAACCGCTAAATGTCTGCTCCCCTTTATATACATACATACACAGACACACAAGTCACATATATAAATATATACAGCATAACCATAGCCGCCAACTTTGGTGAAATCACATACCTGCTGGATAAATGGATCTGTCTGGGGTGTAAGGTGTCTGCTCCGGAAGTGTGCAACTTCAAACAGACACAGTCGGCCTCCAGATCATAAGCGGCAGGTTCTGCGATTTATTTTTTTATCCAAGGCCCCCTAAAATTGCAGTAAATAATCACGAAGGAATATATGGGGCGCATAGTCAGCGACCAACCGCGTGCCGTGCCGGCCTTCATAGGTGCTTGGTAAACAGCACTTTCCCCCAAATTATGTGAAGGCCATATGGGAGATATTTGTCTTTGTGGGCATGTAAATGATTTGCATTGAAGTTTATATGTTTAACCAGCTGAGAACTCGGGAATAAACATGCCAACGTTGAGCAAACGTTGGCATATGGTTGGAACCATTGGTTCAACGTTGGCCCAACTTTCATGTTTACCGGGGGTCTCATTTGCAACAGTGACCTGGGTAGACTGGTGCATGTATGCGAGTGTGTACGTGTGCAGCGGTAGCATAGCGGTTAGCTCGCATGGCTACTAATCCGACCACCTGATGATTATCTGAAACTGGTCCTGGGCTTCCCCTATGTCGACTCAGCAGCTTTAAACGAGAACCTGGTGTGTGATGTGGGGTGAAAAAGGTGACCGGGCGTGTTGCTGCCAACTCCACTCCCCTCGTGTGCAGTGCCAGCGTTCACATAGGTTCTGCTCGCTAACAGCACTTGCCCCAACAGTATGTTAATGGGAAAACTTTGTCTTTGTCTTCTTCTGCAGGTGTGTGGCACCGTGCTTGCCTGGACACGACGAGCAGCAGGGCGCTGGCCCGCGCCTCCATGAGCTGCCCGGCCTGGGCGTGTGTCGTGTCACGGCACGGGTAGCCATTGATGAGCACCAGCTCGTCTCCGTCTCGAAGCCCCGCGCGCCACGCCCGGCTGTGCCTCCTCACCTGGACATCCACCGTCAACGTGACCATCGCCAACATTACCGTCTCTCATCTCATCACCACCATCGTCGTTGCCACGACCATCATCATCATCATCATCCCCATCTTCATAGATCGCCGCCATCGACGACAATACATCCACCAATCTAAACCATCGACAGAACATCCACTATCGTGACTATGACCACCATCACCAGATGCATCACCAACACGAACATCAAAACAAAGATGTGTTTCAAGTGAGCACCTATTAAGCTTGACACAACACAGAAAGGAGGTGTGCCCAGCACCATGCCAGGTTACTTTTGTCTCTCCAGTACTGATGTATACACACCTCACCAGGTACTATTCAAAAGCTGAGTCGACCTAAGAGAGGCACAGGACTGGTTTAGCTATTTGCCACTGATGTGGCCGTGAGCAGGAATTGAACTCAGGAAGCAGGGTGCTAACTGCTACACCAGGGGTGGGGAACGTCCGGCCCGCGGGCCGTATAAGGCACTGCGAAATCATTTAGTGTGGCCCTGCCAAGGCAATCGCAGGCGGGACTCGAAATTCAATAAATCTAGGAGCAAACCTGGAAAAGCAATTGCGAGTAGCAACATCATCAATACCAGCTAACATCATCACACACCTCACCAAAGAGAAGCAGTTCCAGTCATCACATTAGGGGTGAGTTAATTAAATGTTTGACCAAATATAACAGGCTCATTTTTAAGTTGATAATTTTGTATGGCCCGCAAACGATGTTATAAATATCCAAATGGCCCTTGGCAGAAAAAAGGTTCCCCACCCCTGTGCTACACGGACCACAACATCACTAACATAACCACCACTACTTTACCACCATTACTACCAAGACCACCCAGCCAGGTTTATCCGGATCAGTGACCCAAGAAATACGTGTGCAACGTACACACCACACCTGTCCCCCCCCCCCATTGACCCCAGAAAACAGAGTTTTACGGTATTAGTCACGTGTCACCTCGTCCATTCTACCAGTGACTGGTAAAATATTCAAGCCTTGTGATCACCGCCACCAGCAACCACCACCACGACAACCATCACAATGATAAATCATCATCACTGCCATCATCAGAGTTCAAATTTTCGCCAGGGTCAGTCAGGTTATTTCGGGTCAGGCCAATTAAGTTAATCTAATTTTTAATGGCGAGTCAGTCAATGTGGCTTAGCACGTTACATGGTAGATGGAGGGTGTTCAAGGACATTTTATGAACATGACTTATGAATCATAATAAACAACCAGAACTTTGTACTGTGCATATCTAGTAATCAATCGAAAATAACATCACGCGTGACACGAGTAAGAAGTAGACGAACTCACATTTGATATTTTTAAATGGCATTTATAACAGCAAAAATTACAATTGCCCTTCACCTCCCTCATCTCTGCTGTCAGTGAAATAATCCCTACCCGTAGATACAATTTGAATTGAAACAGTCCAGAACTGTTCACACATTAAAACGGTGGGAAGTCAATTCAATATGGAGAGACTGGTTCATGTGGTAGTAATACAGAATTTGCACTATCGATTCGACAGACGTGAACACTGCCAAATGCTTTTTTTAAAAAGAGGATGGGAGACAGTGGTGCGTGGTGTTGATTAGGAAAAAAACATTTCAAAATATAAAACTGCAAAAATTAGTTTGTAACAAAAACGGATCCTAATTTTCAGTGCTCAAGAGGCTCTTTACTCTGTAAAGTGTGCGATAGACGTGTTTACCCAGAGGCTGTGTAAACAGGCTTTAAAAAAGCTAAATGCAGTGACGCTCCCGAGCGTTTGTGAGCGGCACGTTGTGTCTGATTGAAACACAATCGGCAGCGAGACATTTGGAGGTCAGCGGTGGCTCGCCTGCGCCCACTATTAATACAACGTGCATGGCAGCAGCGAAGCCGCAAGCAGCCAGAGAGCATCAAACGCTCTCCCAAACATGAAGGAAGATCTTGACAGCTCTTTGTCTATCCACTGCCGGAATTGTATGTAAGTGGAACTTCTTTCGCACCGTACGTAGCCAACCGTCCTAATCGGAGGTGCGGGGGAAAGACAAGAAACTAAACAAAAAAAATGAGGAATTTATGCACTTATGCAATTTGTCCTGATATACTTTCTTTTATTTTCATGTATTTATTCCAAGTAACTTGCTTACCTTTTTTTCTATTGTGTTGTAACTTGCTGACCCACCCAACCCGGCTGTGCATCTGTGACAAAGAGCTTCATAGCTCATCGGATTCCTCAAGGATAAATACAGATTCTGATTCTGAAGGGGACTCAATTCGGAGTATCAGTTTATTTCGAGTGTAGCCCCGTGGGTTGGGGTTGAGGGGGGGGTGTTGTTTATTGACCATACTTCTTGAACAATGCTGGCCAGTGCCGGTGGTGGTAAAGGGGTGGCGATGAAGACGAGTTCAGACATTACTCGCCAGCGATGTCTCGCCTTGGCTGGCATTTAAACTCACGTCGCCGCCAGGTTCATCGTGTGGTGCGCTAACTGCTTCGCCACCACTTTTCCCCCTCTTATCTTGGAGAGATATATACACGCGTTGGCCATGCGTCTGACACGCGTTGGAAGCTTCGTTAGTGCAGAAAAAATGTCGAGTGCGTCACCACGGCACTTTACGAACATCACTCCGTCTTTTCACAAATTCTATTCAGACTGCGCTACCAGGTGTCGTGGCACAGACTGCAGTGTGTTGGTGTCTCTGATGCTGCAACGCTCCATGTGCGCCACGCATTTGGGGTATGTCGCACTCACTTTCAGCACCCGCAGCGGGCTCCGTGCCTCTCTGCCGCCCCCCAGCCTGAAGCCCCAGGGCGGGCCTCCTCCGATCCTCACCACCACCCGTTCCATTTCTGCTGTCGCCAGTCACGTGGCACACGCACGCACGAGCAACATACAATCGCACACGCGGTGGCGTAGCGTGCTTGACATGGGTCTTGGTGCGATACATGAAATGGGGACCCCTTGTCCAGTTTATCCATGCCTCTTTGTAGCACAGCGCCTAGGCACCTCTGTCCCATGGGCTCCAGGTGCAGGCACCACGGTGGCGTGATGTTAACTACCTCGTCAGGATCCCGACCCTAACGCCTGTATATACGGAGTTTGCATGTCTCTCTCCCCGTGGGTCTTCTGGTTTTTCCCTCCACATTTATAAATATGCGTTTAGAGTATTTGGCAGCTACAAATTTCCACGTGATAAGCCACTTCGTTGAGTTATAATTTGTGGCCAGGTCGCTTCTGAAAAAGAGATATATGTATATATCTCAGTGGGCCTTACGATGTTCAACAAAATAGTAGCTGCACCCACCACCTGTACCCACAACAGCTACGTCACTGAGCATACGGCATGATCATTACGTCATGCGTTTGGGATTTTATTTTTGTTGTCTTTTTACAAACTAATATCAAGCCATGCTAATGAGCATTCTGTCACAAGATGAAGAAATTCACATTGGGCACTCTCGCACAGCTAGCAGCGCACCATCTTGTGTTAGAGATTGGCCATGAAAGAAGCTGTCACAGTGTGCTGCTGCAGAAGTAATTTCAACAGGCTTCCTCATCCCCACTCGAAACACAACTCTTATATGCCCTGCAAAGTTTTTTGTCGCATGACAATGAAATTATCAAATAAGTTTAATAGGTTGAATTAAGCGAGTAATAAGTTAAACAATGGTGGCGACTTGGGGGGACCTTCATCCGGCAGAGATGAAATAAAAAATAAATGTAAATATAATGGACTTTTTTGCGTGGAAGTCAATGGCAGAGACTATTAACTGACTACATTTGAGAATCCAGTTTAATCACAGCTGGCTGTCCGGATTAATGTCGAAGATCTCAGCAGGACCAGCTCAGTGCTCTGATGGGGAATTAGCCCATCCGAGTGGCCCAAGGCCCTTCAAATTTTGGTTTAAGATGCCCACAGCTTATGTAGTCAAGGTCAAGTCAAGAGGTCATCGTGACCAATGCCATAGATGCCACCACACCTCCCCATCCCATTATTCTGCAGATCATTCAGCTGTTGCACAGTCGATACCCAACCTACAATTTCTGCTCTCGCAGGATCCCACTGCATCTGGCTTTAGGTCTCCCTCTGGGCTAAAACGAAGTCCCGTGCAAACACAGTACATGTACAGCCCTTTGCCAATCCACTATTGGATGAGGACCTCTGCCCGTCAAGCAGGTCGTGGCAGTTATTGAGGTCAGTGAGGGTTGATAAAGAATGCCTAGCATCAGTTCGGATATCAATCGGCACTGTTGTTAAACATGGCCAGGAATTGAAATTTGGTCTCCATATTCATAGTGAAAGTGCGCTGACCAATGCGTTGCCGCTAATTATGTCTGCCTCTGTTAAATAGCATTCTTGAGCATCGAAATATAAACACGATTGTAACATTGTAATGCAAATAAATGTATACACACCTGGAGCATGACAGTGACACACAACAGCGTATTCATTTGCACACAACTCAACTAAAATGCATGGCAGCCAGAAAAACATTCCCTACCAAAAAATGGCACCTCTCAGATTGCAGTAGCCTTACTACTGCAAACTCTGGAAATGATAAACATGGCAATTCTGGACAGGTAACGATTCATCCCCCAGTGATCTGATGAACTGTCATGATTCGCTGTAGCAGAATTCGATTCTCTTTCGTATCGTTTTTACTCTCTCTCGATTGCATTGTTTGTCATTTATCCTTGTTTTTACTCTTTTTGTATATTTAGCACATAATTTGCATCAATATTGAACGACTAAATTTCGAACTCAAGATTAATCTACACGTGTTTTGCGAGCATGAAAATCGGTTTTGATCGATTGCCTAGTAAATTACGAGTACAATCAAATTTGCAGTCTCTGTATGTTCCTGCTAAAATTAGCAAAGGGATAACCTTGAATTGACGGTGTAAATTCCACAGTGCCATGATGGGGCCCAGGCTCTTCATGGGATAACCGCTATTGACTTCCCACAAAGTGGTGCTCATGTTATTCACCCCGGATGATTACCTGACAAGAAGTTGACTTTTAATGAACGCCACCTGGCCAGATTAACATTTTAGAACCAATGCAAATTAATTTGATAAAGCATCTTATGACATTGTGTATGATTAAACGTGTAACAGTAAAAGCAAATGACTGAAGCAAAAAAATTTTAAACAGAGTATTTTCACTCTTTTCCATCACCTGCAGAAATTGAATGGAGGTAGTTTACGCATTTAGCAGGTCACATTTCGCAGAACTACGCTACCAGAGCTGGAAACTTAAAGAGAGGGCTCACGTGAACGTATCAATTTCATTTCACTGCTAACGTGTAAACACCCGGTAGCTCACGACGCAGCACCAACCGGACACTGGCTCTGGATGCTGCGACACCGATACTCCGGCCCCCGTTTGAGCTCTCCGATGACAACGTGAGTCCCGAACGAATGGAGGCAGAGAACTCACCCCCGCGCGATGGTGGCGGACGAGCAACCTGCGGCGAACACGTCGCTGGCTGCCCGCACCGGCAACAGCGGCGGCGGCGGCTTTTGGGGCCCACGTCATGGGCGAGTTCACGTTACGGGGCGCGCGGTCCACAAATACCTTCCCTCTCACGGGGACAGCGGGCACACGGCGGTGTTTAAATAGCTCGATAAGCTTTGGAGATTTTTTTTTTCAAACACGCATACTCCAGTCTCCTGGAAAGTGCATTGTGTGTTTTTGCGAAGGGTGTGTGAGCGCGCAAGTGTGCCTGTATGCGGAGCGGTGGCGTAACAGCACGCTGCACTATGAACCTGGTAACCCGAGTTCAATTCACAGCCATGTGTGATATCAGTGGTGAATATCTGGACCAATCCTGGGCATGCCCTAGATTGACTCAGCCTTAAATGAGTGCCTGGCGTCGTGTAAACATCAGCAATGCGGCGATAAAAGGCGGCCCGGGCATGGTGCTGACCACACACTATCTCCTTGTGCACCATCCCTGTTGTCAAAGGTGCTTTCTTACAACCCTTGCCCCAACAGCCCATGTGGCTACACGGGGGTATTTTTGTACCAGTCTTGTCGTGTAGTGGTTCGAACATAAGTTCACACTTATTACACACAAAGTGCTTGCCACAAACGCACCACAATACCTTGCTGATCTCGTCAAGGAGCATAAATCATCAAGCAAACTCCAGTCATCCCAACATCAGCTTATGGCTGGCCATCGAGCAAAGATAGTCACTGCATCGTGCGCTTTCAGATGCTCTTCTGCGGCCTTCTGGAATGATTTTCCTTCCAATATTAGAAAGCCACAGAAGCCATACACTTTTAAATCTAGATTTATTTATTTTATTTTAAGAATGTATTTTTGTGTTTAGTTTATTGTCCTTCCCTCGCACCTTCGATTAGCACGGTTGGCTACGTACGGTGTGAAATACGTTCAACATACATCCAAATATTGAGGTTAAAACCTGATGGCCTGGGTTCAGTTGCTCACTGTGATAAATGCCATTGGCAAACGGTGTTCAAATCTAGCCTGGGCCCCACTAAAATGAGACATATTTTGTGCACCACAGTAATTATTAGCAGTGGGAATATAAAGGTGGCCAGGCGGTCATGGTGCTGTCTCCACCACATCATTGTGGGTCGCTAATAGCACCCCAAGTCGCATAGCGTGGTTGGTATGGGTCTTGGTGCAAGGAATGAAATGTTTCCTAGGTTAGTGTCTGGGCCCCTCTAGTCCATGGCCTCCATTTTTTTGCCCCACCAACCCCGACCCCCCCCCCCCCACCCGGATAGCTGCACCACTGAACTCTAACAGGAGCCAACCAGCACATGGTAAGCACGAGTTGAAAATAATCAGATGGGTGGCCGAGGCAAAAACACCACAGAGCAATTGTCATCACACATCCAGCACTGAGGTTGTATTGCCTTGTTCATCTATGGACAGTTACCACTACTGCACAAAGCACGAGTTCAACTGAGCTTGAAGAATTTATGTCACATCCCGTACTGACCAGGGTGGTGAAGAATGATCAAATGACTCCCACACACAGCCTACACAAAATGGCCTTGCACATATACAAGTGTGATGAGGTTTGGTGGTCTGCGATGTCAGATTGCAAGTTCTGCATTCTGCATCTTGTCGCATTGGTTTCACTGCTGCACAGTCAGGGAAACAAGCTTCTGGATGCAAATGCTGTCTAATATTTAGATACGAGTACAAAGACGGAGAGAGGGCAGAGAGGCTGATGGGGTGGCCAGGGTCAGAGGTTCAGGTTGTGCAGGCTGCAGAGGGGAGGGCGCTGATAAATTGTTGTATTTGACACCTTTTCCGGAAGGAGTGGTGGTGACAGCCAGTGCATTAAAGCTACATAGCTGGAAAGATCAGCGACATTCATTGGGGCACACACACACACTCACATCTCTGCTCCCTTTGCAGCATCCACCCCTATACCCCGGAAACCTGCACTGCTTATGGCGATACAGGGTGTGAAGGCCCTCTGGGGCTCATACGGAGACTTTCAATATATTCATTTGAATTTCATATGCTTTGGCCAGATAATTTGAGAAACATGTACAGTATCGAATTCACAGCTGCCAAGCACTGCTGTGACCCATGGTCGCTCCATCCTGAGCTGTGTTATTCTCTCTCCTATTATGTGTGTACTAGCTTGATTGCCCGTCCAAGGACGGAAGCTGCAATATTTACGAAAAAATTGAGCAGAGTATAATTTATCTTGTGTAAATTGAATGGCAGTGAATCTTGCACAAAGTATGTCATAAAACACTTCACTGCATTTCACTGAAGAACTGCATTTAACTGACCTTCAATTTGTTAAAATTCACTGTTCTGATATTTTTATTCTCTTCTGCTTTCGGTTGCTGGGGTTGAAATGAAATGGAATTCGATACAATATCTGGAAAAACACCGAGAAATGTCGATTTTACCATAATGTAAAAGCATAAATTAGACTTACCTCTTGTCTCAAGTGCTGAAGAAATAAATAAAGACACCAAATCCACTTTGTTGCTGCGTAGATTTAGTTATTAGATTCACTTTAAATAAAAAAACGTGAAACTTAATGCAAATTTGCGAAAAAAATTATGTCCGCTCACCCTTCTGCGTGAGTGTAAAAATCCACC